TGCACACAGCACGTGGGCATGCCTGCATGTGCGAGACAGCAGCCGCTTCCGCAAACAGCACTGCCAGCCACACCTGTGTGTGCGGACTCCAGAAAGGACCAGGCTTCTCCCAGCTCCTCTGCCACCCATGAAGGTATTCCACCGTGGCCGGACACTTCCCTTGCCTCCTTGTCCCTGGGCCAGGAGTGGAGGGTGGGAAGTGGGCAGCACGGTCCTATGCCTACATCGGGCCCCTGTGAGGCTGGGCCTGCTGTGAAGGCCACACATGGCCTTGCTCCCGGGACATCCCCTCTTCTGGGCCACAGACTGTTGGTCGCTGCTCACAGAAGAGGTCATGGCCTCAAGGACAATGTCTGCAGGGATGACTGACTGCCTCTCCCTCTGTGTGTTCTTCACAGCCAGACCAGCAGAGACTGAGGGCCAAACAGCCACCCACCAGAGCCCAGAGAATCCAAACATGCACCAGGATCCAAGAAGACCTAATGCGCCAGCACATGAGTGTCCAGCGCAACATCCACCAAACCCTGGCTCACAAGGTCCACGAGGACTTGGAGTGACAGAACCGTGCATGGCACCAGTTGATGCAGCAGTGTGACAAGATGTGTGCATCATATCATGCATGATGGCACACCCGCCTGATGCCACTGCTCTGGTTTCCACCCTCCTGCCCTCCCTGCTGACCCTGCTCCAGCCCCCGCTCTTATACACCCCCCTGTGGTCCCCAGATCCACCCAACACTAACGAGGTCCCTGCACCTGAGGTGGCACATTGAGCCACCCCTCCCCATCCCAGTTATGAGCCCTCTCTCCCCCTGCCCACCTTTTCTGAATGTTTCATAAATACAGACTTCATTTTTATTGAGAGGTCAGTTAAAGGGAAGGGTTGTGGTGGGGAAAGGGATAGGGCTGCAAGCCAGAGGCCCCTGTGGAGGAAGCCCTGGGGAAGAGTTACTGGGGTCCTTGAGAGAACCTCTCCCTCAGGGCCTCCCAGATGCTTACCCCATCCTAAGGTGCCTAGCAGATGGCAGCAGTCCTCAGCTACTCAAACACTTGCTTCTTGTGGCCAGCATCTGCCCCCCACCCCTGGAGGAAGGTCTCGCCTTTCCTCTTCACAATGTTGCGGAGGACACAATATGCCGCTACCACCTCAGGGAATGTTGTGCTCTCCCATGTCGAGGTAGGTGAGCAGGCACTGGAAATGTGCCATGAGGTGGCCAAAGGCACACTCCACCTGGATCCAGGCCTGGTTCAGGTGGGCATTAAATTGGTCCCTGCTGGGATCCAGATGGCTGGTGTATGGCTTCATAAGCCATGGCTTGAGGGAATAGACTGCATCCCCCATGACGCACAGTGGCATCTGCACATCCCCAATGGCAAGTTCATGGTGGGGGAAAAATGTGCCCACCTCCAGGTGCGCAGATTGGGATGTGGGCCCCATCAATGGCTCTGCTGCAATTTGGGAACCCCAGGGCAGCATATCTGGCCATAGTTGCGTCCAGGTCTCCCAGATGGACGACCCTCCACAGCATGATAGAGTTGATGGCCCTCACCACCTGCAGAAGGAGACAAAGAAACTTACAAAACAGAGAATGAGAGAGAGGGTGCCTGAGTCCTTAGGGGGTGCCTGCACTGCTCTCCTCTCTTGCTTCCCCCCAACACCTAAGGAGCCACCCCCTATGAGGTGCCCCCCCCCCGCTCCCAACAGCAGGGCTGTGTGAAAGCTGGACAGTCCCTAGGGGGTCGCCCCCCCAGCAGCAGGACTGTGTGAGGGCGGGATGGCACAACCTCCCCAGGGATGGGGTTTCCCCCTTACCTCCACTCCCCCCCACAGCTCCCAACACTCCTTTCCCGAGAGACCCCCTTTTCCAGGACTCCCCACCCCCTGTGCAGGGACTGCAGCCCCAGAGCGCCTTACTTCCATGAGCAGGGCCCCCCACACTGAACTGGTTGACTAATGACTGGTAGCTGTCAGGGGTGGTGAGCTTCCAGAGGGTTATTGTGACCTGCTTCTCCAGGGGGATGGCAGACCGCAGGTGAGTGTCATGTCTCCGGAGGGCAGGGGCGAGCCAGGCACATACCTCCAAAAAGGTGGCCTTCTGCATGTGGAAGTTTTGGAGCCACTGCTGGTCGTCCCTCTGCTCCAGGACCAGCTGGTCCCACCAGTCCGAACTGGTGTTGAGCCTTCAAAAATGTGTCTCTACTGTAGGGTGCAGGTGCCAGAGTGTAGCATCTGCACCTAGGGAGAGAGTCCCCAAAATAAGCTTGGGGTCCAGCACGTGCAGGAACAGAAAGGCAGATGGAACAAAGTGCTGCAAAAACTGCAGCATGGGCGTGTGGGGCCATCACATGCCCAGGGGCAGCTCCAGCTCCATGTCTCAAAGGAAAAAGCTGTGATGTCCAAAAACAAAAGGGCAACCACAGCAGGCACTGTGAGAGCTTTGATGTCCCTTAAAGAGGTAGCAAGCATGCAGCAGAAGCAGAGAAACAGCTGTCCATGGGGGTCCCTTTAAGCACATGTCTCTGCAAGGCTCCGGCACCAGCACTTGGAAGCAACTAGTGACCTAAATCCCTAGCTGAAGTGGTTCTGGGTGGCCTTTGATGTGAGAGAACATCCAATCAGTCTGGATGCTCTCTTTCGAAAAAGCGCATTGCTTTTTCAGTGAACTTTTGTGCATGGACACGCTTTTTCGGAAGAAGTTTTTTCAGAAGATCTCTTCCGAAAAAAGACGTAGCCTAAGAGGATCAACTGGAATAAGTGAGGGAGAATATCAGTCTTCATAGATAGGATCTACAAAACTTGCAAATGCTTCAAAAGATTGAATGTGTAAATACATTATGTGGTTTAACAGAATTGCAATTATATTATCATTTTACGTGTCCGTAATTTGAAAATACTTAAAATAACTTGTTTGCACCAAACAAAGTTTAAAGATGGAAAAGGAATGGAAAAAAATAACAGTTGAGAAACATTAACAGAACATGCAGACCTGTGAGAGATAAAGGACTCTGATACAAAAGCTTGATAGTTACTGCATTAAGTTAGAAATCTGAGGTTATTTTCAAAACTTTCAGTATCATATCCATGGGCATAATCTAGAACATGAACATCCACAAGCATATGCAGATTGCATTGAACAAAATGTATATTTAAAAAAACTGGTGGCAATATGTGCACACATCAGCCTGACTTTTGGTGCCATGCAAAACTAGATGGAGAATGAGTGAAGCTACAAGAAGTACAGTAGTCAAAACATTTTCAACTATGAAACAACTTTTGTGGAAAGCTCCCTTTAGCCTTGTTCATATTTCAGATTAATGAAATAAAGTCAGATTCTGGAAAAGTTTCCTTATGTGAATAGTTTTTTTACTCCATTCCCCTCTGCACTTCACCACCAATGGAGCTCAAAGTAGAAATGTAATACAGCCTTAAAGGAGAAATGTGGACAGTACAACTCTGTTGGAGTCATCCTGCATAGAGTGAAGGGAGTCTTTGGTGAGGTATACAAACCCCAGAAAGGGTAAGGAGCAGCTCCGTTCCAGAAATCCCTACTCCCCAGCTCCTGCTGGGCATGTTCACAATGGAGAAGGAACTCAAAAGGGTGCAGGCCATCTCAGGAGAGGTGTACTGAGCAGGAGAGGATTTGCATGATACAGGCTTCTGCCATGAAGCCAAAGCCCAAATGTGTGCTAAGTCACCACAGGCCCTTTGACCTCAGAGGAGTGCAATGATAAACCTTGACCAAGGGAGAAAAACCCTCCAGACCATACCCAGGGAGAATGCCAAGAGGAGCTCAGAGATGACCCCAGTGGCAACAGCAAAGGAACTGATGAAGGGGTTTGGAAATCAGGAGCCCGCCCCCAGGCTGCTTATTTTGATTTCATGTTTCATTGGGACCTGGGTTGGAACCTGGCTGAGGAGGGAGGGCCTGAGTTTCCCAACCCCAACTGTTGACTCTCACCATTAGGCAACATGGCTGCAAGTAATTACTGACCCTTGTGTTACTCTACAGTCCAGAGTATCTCCACCAGGTGGCATTGCTGGCCTGGAACTAAACACATTCCTGACAGTCCAAGAAGACAAAGCCAGCTCAGATACTATTGGCCTTTTGCTGGTTCATGAGGAATCAGCCCCATGTGCTGTTCTGGAAAGAACAGCATGAAAACACCTGTCCTACCCAATGCAACAACGGTGAAGGAATCTTTGCAAGGAGAACATCACTCAGATTTACTCCACCTTTTTCTACTCCTGTGGCTTTTCTAGTAGGAAGGGGAAACTGGTTCATAATTAAATAAGAATCATAACACCACTTTAAAATATGTATTGTTCTATTTTACACATGGGGAAACTAGCACACATTGAAGTTAAGCGATATGACTGACTCACAATAACAGCAAATCAGTGACTGAATCAGAAATACAAATAAAGAAATCAGACTACAAATTCTGTCCTATAAAATAGTCCTACTCCCTCTGTGGGTTAAGAGCCTTAGGAAAATCACAAGGTCAAATCAATTCCCAGAAATGCAATGGTTTTCTTTCTAGTCTTTACAGAAAAACAAAGTTATGGACAAAATTGCATATTTTATTGCAAATTGCTTTGCCCATTTCAGCATCTTCTATTTCCACACCAGCTGTATAAAATACCATCAAACACAACCACCTTTTGTTTCCTTGGCATTTCATCTGAGCACAGCGAGCAAACAAAGTAATGTACAATTACTTCTACTTCTCCCTAAATTCCACATCTCCAGTAGAACCACCAGTAACAGACCACATCAACTGCTCAGAAGGAGTAAACCCATGTTAATCTAGTAGTCCCCAAAGACAGAAAAATAAGGACAACTGCTAAAAGAAAAAAAGCCCCAGCCTCTGAAGGAACAGAGTCTGCCTCACCAACTTAAGTAAACAGGAGGAGTCATGAATTGCAAAAGCCTGAACATTGGTTTTTGCCCTATGCAAAGTAACTTCCTTCTTCTTACTTCACCTGTTTTATCACTGACGTCTAACAATTAGCTAAAAGATAGTACTAACTGAAAGCTAGTACTTTGAAAGGAAATATTCAAATATCCATTTAGTTGTGTATGTTACTTCTTGCTTTTTACCATTTCCATATGTTGAAGCTACTTCTGTTCATCTGCTTGACGTGTTGGGTAAGATCAGGTAAGAGAGCCACTAAAAGTTTTTTTTTACTTTTTTCCAAGCAGAGGAAATTAACTTTTCTAACTGCAAAATGACATGAAGATTAAATCTTGGTTAATGTAACAAACAGTCAGGTGACCATGACTGATCAGAAATTAGGACAAAGATTTTCAGTGTAAGGTAAATAAAGAAAAAACATGATACCTTATTTCCTGCATTTTTGTACACAAACTAAAAGGCATGTGTGCTTTGAATTGTGGAAGTACATAAAATAGATTTTGCAAAATAGTTTTAAATATAATCTGAGATTATTCAGCATTCATTTACTAATTATGAAGACTTTCAAAGTATATTTTAAAAATTCATGGGTTAGTATTTTTTTTTATATAGACTATAATTTACTTATTAAACTCCTGCCAACAAAATGTGTCTTTATGTATGGTTCTCTCTGCCCTCATGTCAAAAACCTCTAAATGAAGATAAATATGAAAGAAATTTTACAAATTTAAGCAGAAAAGGGTGAAGTGATATATATTTACTGGAGTAAATACAATTGCCTAAGTGATATTTATAATTTTCTCATCTGCTAAAAGTGCATATTTGAGAAGTCTCATGATAGTGTATAAAAAAGCAATATTAATTATACAAACTAATAAATGTTGCCTCAAAAATGGGTGAAATAGAATTTGCAAAGCTTCTGGTCTGCTCTGTGATTTATTGCTGAACAGTTTCAAATTATATGTAAACATTTCAAATCCATTTGAGTTTGAGAATAATAACCCAATAATTGCACAATATAAAGTATGCAGAAGTGTCCAAAGCAGATACTTTGTCCTTTTTCCCGAATTTACTTTTCAGTGAACACCTTTTATTCTTATGTGATACCTGAAAGTAAGCATTTGATATATGGTTTCCTTTTATGTAACATGCTTTCCAGCTAATAGGTTTCACTTATCTTTGTTATTTCCTAAAGAATAGGCTTTTGTGTTTCCATTGATCTGAATCTGATCTTACATTGTTTTTTATTCTTATGTAATTCCATTGACTTGAATGGAATTATTCCTGATTTGCACTGATGTAAGTGAGAGGAAAATTGAGCTTCATAAATAGAAATCAAAATAGTCCCATTAATATCAAGGAACATTTCAATATTTAAGGTATCTCTGTGTAATTCACTACAGGAGTTTGAGAAATACACTGTAATAATAATTTTATCTAATTATAAGATAGATAAAATGTGGATTTTCTAGATGGGGAACAGCAGTTTCATTCTGAACTCAGAAAAAATGTACAGTTTATCTGTATCTGAATATTGAAAATGCAATTAGATTCACATTCTAAGTATTTTTTTTATCTGAAAAGTCTCCAAAATGTAGTTGTGGGTATGTGAGTGGCATGTGTGAGAATTTCTATTTTAGTTTTCTCACCTTACCTAACATTAAGTTATGATTTGAACACAGAAATTAAATTTCACAGATGATAACATTTCAGAATCTTCCCAGTGTAAGACATTTAATTGGACCTTTTGATGTTGTTAGAATGAAGATCAAAATAATTGCATCTCAAACAGAACTGTTCTTAGATTTCAGATTTCCTCACTTTACTAAGACTCACTATATACCAGTCTATTAGGGTATGTCTACACTTGCCCCCTAGTTCGAAGTAGGAAGGCAAATGAAACATACTGAAGTTGCTAATGAAGCACAGGATTTAAATACTCCTCATTGCACGAGGAGTAACAGTTAATTTGAGGGAAGGGTTTTGGATCGGACTACCGCGTCTACACGCAGCGAGTTAATTCGGGCTACCGGCATTTTAAAATGGCGACCGGCCGCGAATATGCTAATCAAGCGCGGGGTATTTAAATCCCGCGCTTCATTGACAACTTCAGTATGCTTCATTTGCCTCCCTAGTTTAAACTAGGGGGCAAATGTAGACATACCCTTAAAGATTACATCCAGACTTGTCAACTTTTATCAATATTATGATTTACTGAGTCATATTAGTCTAGCAGGATGGAACTCAAAAAATAACAACTTCAAATTACTTAAAAATAAAACATTAAACATTTTTATTCAGAGAAGACTGGTATTGAATTTAAAATGTCAGGAATACTATATTCTGATTATGTAATAATTAAAGTTAAGTACTCTCTAATGTGGTGACTGAATAAATGAGTCCAGAGAGGTTTTGTTTCATTCCAGATAATAAAGAGCAGGAAGACTCAGAACTTTTTGTAACACTGCTCTGTCACTTCAGTTTCGTTTTCATTAGCCCTGCATATACCCACTATTCTTTTGAATGTGAACTCCATTTCTTGCAGTAACCTTGCTTTGGTCATGTTATCAATTATTTCACAAATAATTTGGCCTCTAATTATTCCCTCTGTTAATTGCTCAAATTCACATGATTTATTTTGGTTATGTGGATTTCAAACATAACATTCAGTGATCTCACTTGTCAGCTTGTTTCTTGATTAAAACAGTATAAAGTACCTTTCCATTCTTATGTTGATCACAAGTATTCCTGAGGTTTTAAAAAAATAACCCTATCTTCATCAGTAAATTTGTAATCCTCTTCATGCTTCCACCTCAATGTATTGTGGATATTCAATTCTTCTAGATCTGCCATCTGTAGCTGTGTGGAGGTTTTAAGCACGTTCACTTTCTCTTCATTGCCCCTTGCTTCCAGAGAAATGTGAAAGCTTTTCTTCCAGTCTCTGCCAGATTCTTGTTTGTTTTTTGCCTATTTATAGAATCTTCAGTAAACTGAAAGTTTAGTTTAAATAACCAGCTTACATGAAAAACAACCATTTAGGAACAGAGTAGTTACTATTTCTCATCCGACTTTAACTTTCCAGAAGAAATGTATACAGGCAGTCCCCGGGTTACGTACAAGATAGGGACTGTAGGTTTGTTCTTAAGTTGAATTTGTATGTAAGTTGGAACTGGTACATATTGTAGGGGAAACTCTAGCCAAACATTTCTCCAGAGCTCAGTTTTATTCTCCCACACCTCACTTCCCTCAGTCCTTTATTCTCAAGCTGAGGTGTCTGCTGAGAAAATCCGCTCTGCGTCCCCCTGGTCCACCCTTTGTAGACAATTAGAGAAAGACAGTGGTAAAAGAATAGTTTTTCCATAGTTTACCAGATCAAACAATTATCTAATATTTTTATATTTTTCAGATACGGAACAAAAATGTCAGGAGTTCACAGATCTTAGCATACAAAGTGCTATAACTGGGACAGATCTAATAGTGAAACTGCTGCTGTATACAAGGAAAAATCAAAACTGTTCCGAGAGTCTCAGTGAATATAATTCAACTGATTCTACACATCTGGATGTGACCAAGAAAACTGTCTTTATAATACATGGCTACAGACCAACAGGCTCTACACCAGTTTGGCTGAGTGAAATAAAAGAGCTTCTCCTGTCTGTAGAGGACCTTAACCTCATTATAGTAGATTGGAACAAGGGTGCTACAACTCTAAATTATTTTACTGCTGTCCAGAAAACTAAAACGGTTGCAGACATATTGAAGAAATGGATTGACCAGATGTTGGTAAGGTAGACTTTACCCTGTAGGTAAATTATTTAAAATATTATAACTTAGTGTGGCAAAAAAATATATTTTTGAAATATAGTGGTCTCAAAAAGAATACAATAAATACTATATTTTGAAATGTCTGTACCAAAATGGTTACATTAGTGACTGCATGCAGTTACTACATCACATGCCTATCCTTGTTCTCACATCTGCTCCCATTGATGTAAAAAGCAGTTTGGACATTTTATTTTAATAGGATCGACATAGTGTTTGATTCCCTGTGCCAGTGAGGAGTTTCAGCTGCATTAAGTAAAAAACTGCTATTTCAGAGGAGAAAGTGAAGGATATGCCAAACTACACCATTACATTAAGTACTAAACGAGGCACAAAGAAAGCCCACTTATTAAGATTAGTTAGAAGCAGGGCTTGTGACAGACTTCATCAGGCCCTAGGCAAGGTGCAAGGGGGGGAAGAGGGGCAATCAGCTCCAGCCCTCTGGAAGGGATGGGGCCTCAGGCAGAATCAAAGAATCATAAAACACTAGAACTGTAAGGGACCTCGAGATGTCATCGAGTCTAGTCCCCTGCCTTCATAGCACATTTGCCCTGCTATTGCAGTAGCAGCCATGAGGGCCCATAGCCCAAGCCCTTTTAAATCTCTAGGCCCAGGACAATTGCCCTCCTTTCTCGCTTCCCTCCCCCCATGGATGGTCTTGCGTATAAGGAAGGTTTATCAGAAATAATTGATATAAGGCTGTTAAAAACAGTTTTCCATAGTACAAAAACTTTTTATATACTTCCTAGTGCTAAAAGGTGCAGCTAAAAAAATCATTAATGAATAAGAGGCTGAGCCAAAACTTACAAAGTCAGTGGAAAGGTACAACCATGGACTTCACTAGGTTTTGTATCAAGTCCTTAATGAAATGGACAAAAATAATTTAAAGACTATTTATTCAATTATCCATTCAATTATATGTTTGAAATTTTGTTCAATTATCCGTTTGAAATTCTTCCATCTCCATTACTTTCCATCTTGAGCTTTTTCAGAAAGTTTAAGTATCTGTATCAAAATGTCTGCAAAGATTTTAACAGAGAAAGAAAGTGGGATTGGGGGCAGTTGGTAAGAAGAGTGGACAGAAAGTATGGCACACAGTAGCATGGCCTCTGGTGCCGATTGGGGTGTACTTGCTAATTTATAAAATATGGTGGAAAACTGACATTATTAGAATGTCCTGCAGTCCCATACTGGAGTAAACAGAACTACATAATGCATAGTCCCAGCACCCTTATGGGCTACTACTTGCCACTTACAGTGAGCAAGTAGGCTACCTACTGGAAGAGTGGCTGTACCACATGCATGGAGAGCAGATCTTGCTCTGCCCCTATGAGATATCTACTTGCTACATACCTCTAGGAGTGACTGAGAGACGTTCGCAATCCTGTGATCTTGAAGGCTCTAGATCTCCTCATAAGAATGGCTATACTGGGTTAGACCAATGGTTCATCTATCCCAGTATCCTTTCTGCCGACAGTGGCCAATACCAGATGCCCCACAGGTAAGGAATACAACAGGTAATCCTCATGTGATCACTCTCCTATCACCCATTCCCAGACAAACAGAGGCTAGGGACACCATTCCTATGCATCTTGGCTAATAGCCATTGATGGACCTAACCTCCATGAATCTATCTAGCTCTTTTTTTAACCCTGTTAAAGTCCTACTCTTCAGCACATCCTCTGGCAAGGAGTTCCACAGGTGGACTGTGTTGAGTGAAGAAAAACTTCCTTTTGATTGTTTTAAACCTGATGCCTATTAATTTCATTTGGTGACCCCTAATTCTTATATTGTGGGAATAAATAAATAAATAACTTTTCCTTATTCACTTTTTCCACACCAGTCATGATTTTATAAACTTCTATCATATCCCCCCTTCGGCTGTGTCTAGACTACACCTTCCTTCAAAAGAGGGAATGCAAATGAAGCTGCAATTTGCAACTTCTTGCGCTTCATTTGCATACTCTCTTCCAATCCCTTTTTCTAAAGAGATTCTTTTGGAAAAAAAAAACTCCTCAGTCTAGACGTGGTTTAGACATGGTTCTTTAAAAAAAAACACCCTTTTTCGAAAGAACCCTGTTAACCTCGTTCTTTAAGGCAGAAGGGCTCTTTCAAAAAAGGGGGTCTGTTTCGAAAGAATTACATCTAGACTGCATTTTTTTAAAGCTCTTTCAAAAAAGGGATCGGAAAAGGGTATGCAAATCGCGGCTTCATTTGCATTCCCTCTTTTGAAAAAAGATGTAGTCTAGACGTACCCTTAGTCTCCTCCTTTCTAAGCTGAAAATACCATGTCTTTTTTTAATCTTCATATTGGACCTGTTTCAAACTCCTAATCATTTTTTGTTGCCCTTTTCTGAACCTTTTCAAATGCCAATATATCTTTTTGGAGATGAGGTGACAACATCTGTATGCAGTATTCAAGATGTGGGTATACCATGGTTTTATATAGAGGCAATATGACATTCTCTCTCTTACTGCCTATCCTTTTTTTTATATTGTCTTGGAGTCCTTTATTAGCTTACAAAAAGAGTCTCTTACTGCTTACTGCACATGGTAAGCATTGCCTCTTCTCAAGTGTTCCTACAGACATAGGCTTGATAGTCTTGCAAAACTGGCCATGTGATATCAAAGTATGATTTTGGTATATTTTTAAACTGTATTGGAGGGGTGAGATCAGGGTTGCTTTTAGTAGATGGTTTTGGAATTCACTTTTCTAGAATCTGATACAACTCTGTCTCTTCTTCTTAAAAAAAAAAAAAAAAAAATCAATGACATAGCCTGGAAGAAATGTTACCAGTCTCCTTCATACATTTTTATTATTGTACAGTAAACTAACACAGAAAGTTTAATAAAAAGAAATGTAAAATCCATCATTTTTAATTAGAAATAAAACCTAAACTTTCAAGGAAAACTAAAGAGTAAAACTTAGTTTATTGAAGTCTATTCAACTAACCATATTGTAAACCATATGGTTAACATTTCTATAACCCATGATCAAGCTGCTTTTTTTTTTTTTTTTTTTTTTACTGGCAGGCACATGGAGCCTCCCTTGACTCTATTTATATGATTGGAGTTAGCCTTGGGGCTCATATAGCTGGATTTGTTGGACAGATGTATAATGGTAAACTTGGCAGAATTACAGGTAAGACATTTAAACCTGCCACCCCCCTTTGAGTGTAACTTCCACCATTGTCTGAGTTAGCTGCATAACACACGATGCCAGTGTTGAAATATCAACAAATATGTCACAATTAAATTACTTAGCATGATTATGATAATGAATCAAATGCAACTTTGATATAAATCCAGAGATTAATTTGAGCTAATATAACATAAACAGTGTATTGCATTATTATTTTTTTAAGTTCACTACAAAAATTCTGCCTAGGATTTAAGTTACTCTGGAAAATATTATGGCCAAAATGTTCAAACCTACTTGACAACAGTTAAAATCCTAAATAGCAATGGCAAGTTCTTAACACGCTCCCTAATCAGGTCACCTGCTTTAGAGAAGCTTAAATATGGACTTACATTTTGAGGCCATGCTTCTCAGAAGTTCTGTTAATTTCAATGGGAGGTTTGGATACATGTTAAAACCAGTGGAATATGGGTGCATAAAAATACAGGATGAAGATCCTACATTTGAGAGATCTGTGGCAGAGATGAACAAAGATAAGTCATTTACTTCACCGAGCTTCAAGAAACCAGCTTCTTCCATTTTGGTCCTTGTGTGTTCACAGTTCATTCTCTGATTTTTTTTATACTCACAAATACTAAGTTTAAAATAAAAACCCAGTTGAAACCTGATCAGTTTCATCCAATTTTGCAATAAAACTATGCGTATCTACAAATTTCAGATAATTTCAATACAAACCTATAACTGGATAATTTGGAGCTAGGCAAATGTCATACCATGTTTTTTTGATTTCAGTCTGGCTGTTTTTTTCCTGAAATACCCCACTCACATAGCAGACATTGTTTTTTGTTGCAAAAGAATAAAGCAATTCTGCTAACTCAGCACCATGATGTAGGTGGCTTGTTACTCACCTAGATAAAAGGGAGGTGGGACTCATTCTTTGGTAGAGAGAATCTAGGGCTGTGTCTACACTGCAGGGATTAACTCAAAATAAGCTATGCAAATTGAGCTATGTCAATTGCATAGCTTATTTTGAAATAAATAGGGAGCATCTACACAGCACTTATTTCAAAATAGAGCACTCTTCCTCCGACTTACCTTGTTCCTCATACAATGAGGGTTACAGAAGTTGGAGTTAGAAGTCCTCCAGCTTGACAGTAGTTTGACACTATTTCAAAATAACTCCCTGCTGTGTAGACACAGATCAAGTTATTTCGGAATAGCGCTAGTTATTTTAAAATAGTGTGCAGTGTAGACATACCCTAGCATGTGGATCAATCAGTCTTGTAGTAGGAACCCTAAGAACAATTAAGTCTGGAGCAATGGCTTGAGCTGTATTGCTTTATCATAATGTTAATATATTAATATGGACAAACCCAGAAAGGGATGAGCCTTTAGGTATAAACTTTGTGTTACAGTAGATGATAAGGACATCTATTCAAACATGTCTGCTGCAGATATAAAAATTATTATTGAAATAGAACCCTTGAAAAATAATGCCCTCATGAGTCTTCTTTTCTTTCAGGTCTTGACCCAGCTGGCCCCTCATTCACTGGGAAGCCACCAAATGAGAGATTGGATCCTACAGACGCACTATTTGTTGATGTTATTCATAGTGATATAGATGGTAATGACATAGCTTGTTGAGTTTAGGGGGAAATGGACAAACTGGAATGCAGGAGTAGGAAAGAAAAAGGGAAGAAAGTCAATTAGGTGCATCTAAGTAATGTTGCTCTTGTACATACTGATAAACAGGAGCCGTTCTGAGTTGTTGTTATCTAGGGGACTGGTCCCATTTTATTCAATAGGAGTTTTGCCCACTGACTTCATTGGCATGAAATAACTCTCCATGGGCACGTCACTATGCGGCAGAGCAGTGCTTCTGCTGTTGAGCCTCTGGGGTTTGGTTAACTTTTTTGGAGAATGGATTTTAACTGAGGATGGATTTAGAGCCATTATGGAGAATCCTGAGCAGAACCTATTAGAGTAATAATGAAATCAAGATTTTTATAATGCAAAAATAAGAAAGTCAGTCAGGATTTCCACAGCACTGTAATTCTGCCAAATTAAAATTAGTTCCAATGATTTTTAAGAGCACAAAAAATCTCTCATCTATCTCCTTTGATCCTATGTATTACAATAGAGTCTCTTAGTAATAATAATATTAACTGTTAACATTCATTTACCGATTTACAGATGAAGGCATATAAAACAATCAATTTCCCAAGTCAAGGTGTTTTAAAGATACTAAATTCAGTAAAATGAATGGCTGTGTCTAGACTGCTTTTGCAGAAAAACTTGCCAGCTGTCTACACTATCTACACTGGCCGCTTGAATTTCCACAAGAACACTGACTTCCTACTGTCTGCAATCAGTGCTTCTTGTGGAAAAACTATGCTGCTCCCATTCGGGCAAAAGTCCTTTTGCGCAAAGCTTTTGCGAAATTGGCCACGGATGCTTTTGCGCAAAATTGCTTTTGCGGAAAAGCGTCCATGCCAATCTAGACGCTCTTTTCTGCAAATGCTTTTAACGGAAAACTTTTCTGTTGAAAGCATTTGCGGAAAATCATGCCAGTCTAGATGTAGCCAGTAAGTATATTAGAACCTCAGAATTATGAACAACTCAGGAATGAAGGTTATTTAAACTCTGAACTGTCCAGAACTTTGAACAAAACGTTATGGTTGTTCTTTCAAAAGTTTACAACTGACCTTTGACTTAATACAGCTTTGAACCTTTACTATACAGAAAAGTGCTGCTTTTAACCACCTTAATTTAAATGAAACAGGCAAAGAAACAGTTTCCTTACCATATCAAATCTTTTGTTTCAAATATTCCCTTTATATTTTTCGTAGTTTACTTTTAACACAGCACTGCACTGAATTGAGGTTTTTTTGGGGGGGTCTCAAAAAAAGACTGCATACTTTCACTTACAAATGAGGTGTGTGATTGATTGGTCGGTTCAGAATTCTGGTGTTCATAGCTCTGAGGTTTTATTGTACGTTTTTAATGTATATTAACCTAATCCAAAGCTCACTAAAATCAGTGAGAATTCTTTTCCATTCTACTATATTGTATTGTAGGCTCCTAGATTGCTTCAGACCTCAGTGTTTTGAGCATAGAAAGAAATACCCTAATTAAACTAACATGGATGCAGAATTTTGATTGCTGAGAAGACCCAAAACTCTGAATGTCCTGATGTTTATGCAGTTAAAATCCCAGCCACAAACAGTATATAAATGTAGGGCTCTATTCTTCTTTCATTGCAGTGCAAATATCTGGTTAGAATAGTCCACTGATTGATTTTTGCATATATTTACTTTTTTTTTTAAAGAAAACAACATGATTAAAAGAAAAAAAGTGCAACTAGGAAAAGACAAACATATTCTATTTATCTGAATAGGTGCTATAAACAGAACATCAGAAAAAATTACTTCAGAAACTATTTACTGCTAAGACTTATTAAACATTCTTGTGTAATTATAGATTCTTCATTTGAAAATTTGCTTGATGTACTTTATTACCCCAAATGTTTTTACTTTAGCTCTAGGCTACAGGAAACCTCTAGGAAATATCGATTTCTATCCAAATGGAGGAACAGATCAGCCTGGCTGTCCACAAACAGTGTTTGGTGGTAAATAGAAACATGTTCATTTTAATTCAGAAAAGAGGAGGGCAGAAGATGTCTGTAGTTAATCAGCTAAGGTTTGGCTAGACAAAAGTGAACTCCATGAAGTTTGCATGTATAGAACTGTTGGGATTGCTGAACCAAACATATTCTTGTTCTTTTCCACTCTGCTATTGCACAGATCAGAATTAGTCCTCACATACTGCTACCTAGATTTTGACTCTCCCCCCCCCAAAAAAAGCTCCCTCCGTTCAGATAGAAGAGGCATCTCACATCTCAGACCAAAACACCAGGAGTATCTTATTACTTACAGTATAGACAATAGGGTTACCATGTTAGGGTTACCATGTAACTTGAAAAATAAATAATCCTGTAGCACCTTAGATAGATTAGATTAGATTAGATTATTATAAAATTTTGTGGATGGGCCATTATAAAACGAGTCTTCCTTACATTTAACATGTCAGTGACATCTAAAGCTAATTATGGGGCACTTCCAGCCCACTCATTTAGCCTCATAAGCACCTGAACTACAATTGACGGGTCCATTTTTTTCTTTCTTCTCCCTTCTTTTTCTATTATTGCCGTTTCTATTATTGCTTTATTGCCTTTCTGAAGACAGCTTTTGCAGAGGGGATGTTCCTTAGGTAGCTGTGACCAGGGAGAGTTCCTAGTAGCAGAGTCCCATTGTTAAGGATATGTGGGACCACAGGGGACTGGAACTGCTATGAATGACCTGTATGGATGACCATGGATGCTTGAGAATCCCTTAGGATTCCCCGGTATCTGCAGTGTTATAGAAAGATCTTACAGACTAATTTGTGGGGAGAAGGGAACTTGACTTCCATAAGAACAGCATGAGGGGATTTGGATGAGATGTTCCCACAAGGTCTCTCTCCCTGAGCTCCCTTCCATGGGAAGGGCAATGTGACCCCTTTTAACTTGGGCCCATGTTTAATTCCAGTACATCTACATTTTGAAGGAGAGCTTAGTACAATACTTTTTCTATGTACACTGTCCCTTTATTTTGCAACTGTATACTCTACTAGCTCCTCATTAATTCCTCATCTTTTATTTGGATAGATATAAATCCACTCTCCATTGCTGAAAGCTGGTAGCCAAATGAGCCATAAGCCAACCTTCTTCTCCGTCTAATTTTTTTCAAAAAGGCAAAACCCTGAACAGTAGGGAATAATTTAGTCATTAGCAATGATTATTTTGTTATGTGGCTAATTTTTTTTTCTTTGGAAACAAAAAATTTGATGCATATTCCTTTCATATTTCATTTTTCTTTTTGAATTGAAAGGATTTCAGTATTTTAAATGTGACCATCAGAGATCTGTTTTCCTGTTCCTGTCTTCCTTGCAACAGAGTTGCAACATAACAACCTACCCTTGTGATTCATACTTTAATTACAAGAGTGGAAAATGTATCAACTGTGAAGCTTTTCAACCAATGTCCTGTCCAATACTGGGTAAGAGTTATTTGGTGGTGTCTGTTTTGTAAGTTGGACGGACGAATAATGTATTTGTGAATTTTTCCCTGCAGTCTCTTCATTGAAAATAGCTGTTTCTTGAATCGCTTAGGCTTTGTCTCCATATTGTAGCTTGCTGTAAATGTTATAGGAGACACTGACAGGAACTGTGGAAGGGATTTGCTTGCAGAGATACCTAGCATCTAAAAATAACCTAATTTTTAATATTATGATTGCTTTTTTAAAGGCCTCTAGATTTATTGCAGGGGTTAAAACCATATAAATTTTCTAGTCTGAAATAGTATGGCAAACAAAAAATAATTAGAATCTTGTAGAAATATAAGGTTAGGGAGAGATGAAAAAGATTGGGACAGTTTCATTTAGAGAGGAGATGAATAAGAGAGTCATGATAGAAATATGCAAAATATGAATGGTGAAGACATTAAATCAGGCATACCCATGTACCCTCTTTCATAGCACAAGAATAAGGAGACAACCAATGAGACTGACTGGCAACAAATTAAAAAATGGGTAAAATAGAAACACTTTTTTACATTGAGTATAAGAGGATTAAACATTTATAAGTTAAAATATGTCTACAAATACATTACATGGGATAACTCCTCCCCACCCCACAACATTCTTAGGATGCATATTAACCCTCATAATTCAGTGATAAGCCAACCAATTTATGGAAAGAATAGGAAGAAACTTTACCTCTGGAACTTTTCCATTATTGTTCAGCATAAGGTTGCTTGTATTCTCTGAAGCGGTTGGTAATGGTCATTTTAGAAATAAGATACTAGATAGGATGGTCCCCTGCTCTAATCCAAAATGACAAATTTTATGACCTTAATATAGCAGGAAAAGTATGTTAAGTGGCCTACCAAAAACCAAAAGGATATATATTATCTATTGGATTGGTTGGATGATTTTTATATTTTCCAGATCAGTTTTCTTTTCCAAACTGCACAAATAAGTTAAATTGTATAACCTTCAGTAATTTGCTCCTTTGTATTTGTTGCTATTTTTCTTAGTAATTTCATGTTGGATTTATAAAATTTGGATTTTAGGTTATTATGCTGATAAGTGGAAAAACTATTTAATCCAAAAAGACCCTCCAGAAACGAAGGCTTATTTTGATACTTCAGCCGACAAACCATTTTGCAGTAAGTGACTGACCATTTATTACTTTTTTACACTTACCAAACTTGTCATTGATTATAAACTGATCCAGAAAACATGAAGTTTTTGATTACATGTTGAACACTGTTCCTATACTACAGTAAAAAGCATGTAAACTATCAGTTTAAGTGCCAGTGTATAGAATGGAGAAAGGAGCAGGATGATCTGGGCAGAATAGTAAGCAACGAGTGAGCTGAACTGGAAAGAGAAAGAAATGTGGCTGCTTTGGATAATGGGGAAACATGACTGTCAAGCTGTGATCCCTGTAGGCTGAGTGCTTGGACGGTCACCCAGGAGAAATTTAAATGCCACCAAGCTGATTAACAGATATCTAAAGTTCTCACAGCTGGCAGCATTTGTTTCTAATATTGGTGCACATATGAAAATTTATTCTGCACATATATAGAAAAATTCGAGGGAACATTGGCTGTCAGGAGGGAAAGTGAAGTCAGAGAATTAGGCTGGTTAGTTACACAGGAGAGGCTGGGTGAGAGAACTTGCTTAGTTGGGAAAGGAAAGGTACATGGTTGTACTGTTCATATTATAAGCAAAACACACGTGGTGGAAAAAAGAAGCCCTGCCCAGCTTGGCACAGTAAAGTACTAATAAACTAGAACCAACAGAGAAATTATATCAATAAATGAGTCAGGAAAGTAATGACTGAGTGAAGCCTATGTTAATCCCTAGGAATTTGAAAAGGAAAAATATTACTGAGGAAACAAATAAAGGAAACTAAGAAATAAACAAGAGATGATCAAACTAAAAACACAAGACATACATAGGGAAAACAAACTTCAAACATTTATATAAAATGAGATTTGTTTTTTGAGCAAACAAAATATACAAAATAGTTGTAACTGACTTTAGTGCTGAAAAAAATATAACAGCCCAAAATAGTTTCTTTTCCTCTGATTATCCACACAACATGTACTGTATTGGCAGAAGCAATGCAGTCCAGTGTCCTCCAGCATTCTGACAATGGATCTCAACTATTTTCTGGAAATGGGCCTTCCAGAAGTGACTTGGTGGTTTTGCAACATTCTCAATCACTCTCTGTGGAGGCGGCCAGCAAAGAAGGCAGTTACAAAGTGACCCCGGTTCCTTTGTCAGGCAGAACTCCCACTGAAGTGAACAGAGTTTTGGCTGAGTAATGGAATGCAGGATCAGACTCTTCATACTAATAGTGATGTTTATTTTGTAATATGGGATGTAATGGGCTATACTAGCACTTTTGGCCTAGAGAAGGCCAAAAGACCCAATTGCAGTGTGAGTCTGTGAGGAAGTGCTTAGGAGTTGACCAGGCCAGTGACAGGACCTTTTTCTTCTAAGAACTGGTGAAAGCCATCAGCTTTCTTTACATAATTCCAAACAGCCAACATATGGAAACTACTTTTAATTAGTAGCCTCTTAGGGCATGTCTATACTAGGGAAATATATTCCCCTTATTTCAAAAAAACAAGCAAAGCATCCACACTACCAAGCCTTTTATTTCAAAATAAGGGGCTGGTTATTTTGAAATAATAACTCCTGCTTTTCTTGGGGAATAAGCTTATTTTGAAATAATTATTTTGGGAGTTATTATTTTGATACAACTTATTTATAAACCATTTCCTAGTGTAAACATGCCCATAGCTCTGAAGGAATGAAGGAACCAGTATTCCGAAGAAATGGATAATGAGTCATCACCTTATCCAGTGAGTCATTTTAATAGGGAGAGAACAGGAATTATATTTATGACGATGAGTTCAACCTTTGAATCTTATTTTCTGTTTCTGTTTTGCAGTGTATAACTACTTTGTGGATTTTATTACATGGAACAAAAGCACTAGGAGAGGTTTCATTAAAATTAAAATAACAGATAATGCTGGAAACACAATAGAATCAAAAGTGAATAGGTAAGTCATGTTTTACTCAACAGGTTTTGTATTTTTTATTTATCTAAAGCTGTCTTAGCTTTCAGCAGAATCTACTGAGATAGATTAAAAAAAAGAAGAAAACCATTAAAAGTTCTGTTACTGTAAGTGCTGAGTTGGGTAAAATATAGGACAGTCTTGCATAGCAGAATATTATTTGAGATTTGTTCTGCTTTTGGGTAAAAATGAAAAGCCATACTGTATCCAGTAACTTATCATGTTCCCTTTCACTGGAAGATCTAAAATAAAAATGGATGCCACTAACATATAGGCTACATCTAGACTGCCCCCTCTTGCACAAGAAAATATGAAAATGAGGCAAAGGGGTAAATATCACTGTGCCTCATTTGCATACTTAATGAGCCTAGCCTTTATTTTCACTTTCGAAAGGGCGCTTGATCAGCACACCACCGGAATGTGAGTATGCAAATGAAGCCTGGGATATTTAAATCCCATGCTCATTTGCACTTTTGAAGTGCTTGATTTGCATCTCTCTGTCGGCAGAAGGGTTTAGTTTAGACACACCTGTAATGTGGTGTAAAGTTTCTGAATATACCAGGGAATATGGCTCCAGATCTTCTGATTCCCAGTTCTGAACCTAACCACAAGACAACTTAACCGAAAGTAATATTTTTAATAACAGTGGATTTGACTCAGATAATAATGTATTATATTGTCTCTTTAGTGAGGCTGCTACATTTCAGCAGTACAGACAAGCCAGTGTCCTTGCTGGATTTTATGAGGATTTTGAAAAAATATCAAGAATTTCTTTGACTTTTTCTACAAGGACTCTAACAGGCCCAAAATATAAGCTCAGAATTCTCCGAATGAGGCTAAGATCTATTACATATCCTGAAAGGTAAGTGGCTATTTGGTAAAGGGGATACTTGAAAACTAGATTGATTGAGGCATTTCTGGAAAATTATATATTGGGCTGTTTGTGGAAATTTGGGTATAATGCATCTCTCTCTCTCTCTCTCTCTCTCTCTCTGTATATATGTATATTAGAGATTTGTGCTTCTGTCTATGTGTCTGTCTGCAAGTCCATTTGTTTAAAGACTCCTCCTAAATAATAAGAGCTAGGACCACCACATTCCTAACTTAAAGCAAAGTCAGGATTTGGTTGTGCCAGGAAAATGAGAGGCACCAGGAATGGGACTATTTTCCATAACATAGAAAAGGAGAAGCATTTTGGAGGGATACAACGCTAAGAGTGGCCACTGGAGGCAGCAAGCTCACAGGGGAGAGCTATCCTGCAGAGTGTCCACTGGGGGCAGCCATACCACCAAGGGAATGGCCAGCAGGGCTGAGGCTCTTGGCTGCAGCACCAGAGGGGAGAAGAGAAAAGGCTCCTAGGGGGTTGGCGTGTCTGGGGGGAGAAAAAAGGACCCTGGCTGCCCTGTGGAGACTGGGACGAGAGAAAAGGCCCCTGGCAGCTAGGAGGGTGACCAGGGGGGAGAGAAAAGGCCCCCTGTGAATGGGGAGGGGGCTGGGGAGCGAGAAAAGGCCCCCATCGTCCATAGAGAAACTGGGGAGAGAGAAAAGGCCCCTGGTGGCTGGTGGGAGGCTGGACGGGGGGCGGGGGGAAGGGGAAGGAGGGAGAAAAATAGCCTCTGGTATCAGGTGGGGACTGGACAGAGTGAAAAGGTATGGTATAGAGGGGAGAAACAAGAAGTGAGGTGTGCGCTGATTACACACAACTTTATGAGAATCAGGCTCCTCCTCTCCCTAGGGTTGCCAGGTGTCCAGTTTTGAACCGGACAGTCCAGTATTTGAGCTTTATGTTTGGGAAACAAATTGAGAAAATATAAATGTCTGGTATTTTCTAAATAAGATGTCATGTAGATTGTTATGTAATGTCAAGTATGTCCAGTATTTTTGTTGAAACCATCTGGCAACCCTATCTCTGCATCCTATCAAACTGCTGCTACAGGTCATTTGACATGCCCTGCAAATTCTAGGTGCACAAGCGCACTTAGTTAAACTACCCTATCCTGTTATGACAATCGTGCAGCCACTAAAATAAAGGAGGGTCATTCACTAGCTTAAGTTGCTCCCCACTGCTGTAGAATGTTACTGTGAAGCAAAATGGCACAACATAGATTGATATTTTTACTTACCACTCAGTAATGTAGGCACTTCTGAAAATGTTACTCGAACTCAAAAGTTCCTGATTCCCAGACAATTTTTTCAGTACCAGATTATAGAATATATATCTATCTCATAGAATTGGAAGGAACCTTGAGAGGTCATTAAGTCCAGCCCCCTATCCTCATGGCAGGACCAAGTACCATCTCTGACAGATTTGCTCCAGAACCCTAAATGGCCCCCTCAAGGACTGACCTCACAATCCTGAGTTTAGCAGGCCAATGATCAAACCACTGAGTTATCCCTCCCGCACAAATGCTGATTTATACAGCCAATTAGAACAATGGCTATCTCAAATACTGCAACTTTCTATTTCATCAGCAGCTTTGTGGAATAAAATATGTCAACAACATCTTGCACTGTATACAAAGAATAATAGGGATTGCAGATGAAAGTAATTTCCTGTGTGCAAATGGCAAGACAAAATGTAAATCATGCAAGCAAAGAAACAGGCTAGAAAAAAAAAGGGTTTTGAGGTGCTGGCTGTCCCATGAAATTCCCAATTAAGATTTCATTTGATGAGGTTTTCAGGAAGAGGAGAGGATGGAATGAGCAAGATAATTCTTATTTTCTTCATTATGGATTTCCTGTGGCTCTGTTTCTAAGGGTACATCTAGTCTGCAGTGCTATTTCAGGATACCTCTGGTATCCCAAAATAGCTATTCCATGTCTTTTGAACCAGCCTGTTATTTTGAAATAGATTTTGAAATAATCATAGAACACTAGAACTGGAAGGGACCTCAGGAGATCATCGAGTCCAGTACCCTACCCTCATGGCAGGACCAAGAACCGTCCAGACCATCCCTGATGGGTGCCTGTCTAACCTGCTCTTACATATCTCCAGTGATGGAGATTCCACAACCTTCCTAGGCAATTTATTCCAGTGTTTAACCACTCTGACAGTTAGGAAGTTTTTCCTAATGTCCAACCTAAACCTTCCTTGCTGCAGTGTAAGCCCATTGCTTTTTGTCCCATCCTCAGAGGCCAAGAACAATTTTTCTCCCTCCTCCTAGTAACACCCTTTTAGATACTTGAAAAACTGCTATCATGTCCCTTCTCAGGCTTCTCTTTTCCAAATTAAACAAGCCCAGTTCTTACAGTCTTCCCTCATAGGTCATGTTCTCTAGACCTTTAAACATTCTTGTTGCTCTTCTCTGGACCTTCTCCAATTTCTCCACATCTTTCTTGAAATGTGGTGCCCAGAACTGGACACAATACTCCAGCTGAGGCCTAATCAGCACAGACTAGAGTGGAAGAATGACTACTTGTGTCTTGCTCACCTGTTAATGCATCCCAGAATCATGTTTGCTTTTTTTTTTTTGCAATAGCGTCACACTGTTGACTCATATTTAGCTTGTGATCCACTATGACCCCTAGATTCCTTTCTGCAGGACTCCTTCCTAGACAGTCGCTTCCCATTCTGTATGTGTGAGACTGATTGTTCCTTCCTAAGTGGAGCACTTTGCATTTGTCCTTATTAAACTTCATTAAACTTCATCCTATTTACCTCAGATTCTATTTCCAAGATTCATATAAAAAGGACATGAGGCAGATCAGATCTTTTTTACAAATCAAGAAAAAACAAGTGAACCGCCCTCATTGCCTATGCTCACCTGCATTTCTCCATAACTAGAGCCCCGCATCACAATATCTCTTGCATGATTGGGTCTTTACAGAAGCAAAGATGCAAATGTGATGTAAGGGCTTTTTGCAGCAACTCTCCACATTTCTGAATGAGTTTGGTCTGTTGCACACAACTGGGGTGCACTTTATTATCAAGCTTGATTTGAATCTCTCTTGCAATCTGTATGCTAAACAATCCACTTTCAAATAGATCTATACAGATCAGCAAAGGAGGTTCTAGAGATGGGAACATTCTGGGCATTTCAACAGGGTTTGCTCTTGCAAATCACCCCAACTATTTCTTTCACAGCCAACTTACTTGTAAAAGGCATCTCCGATGTCATCTGAGGGACCAACCTCAAGCAAAGAGCTTTACAGGCTGCTGTCAGCTAATATTGTAGCTATCCCAGGTGCTTTGTAAGTAGGGGCTAGAAAAATCTATGCAATACCATGGGATATTTTTGATAAATTAATTTTGGATCAGTGCAAGAACTATAGTGACTGAATGCTGTGTACGCATGGGAGGGAGTAGTGACCTAGCGGTGAAAGATTACACCATACCGTTAGTTCCTGGACCGACCACCTGCCATCTCCAAGGATGTAAATCTCACTGCACCTGTCAATTACACTGAGTCCAGTTTTCAAAGCCTAAACATAGAGGCACGTGTTCAAGCTGGCGTATGTACACAGGCAGCTGCCTCCTGCCAATTCTGTGAAAATCTGGCCGTAGGCAGCTGCAATTCTTCTCTCTGCCGAAGGGCCCAAGCACTCAGGGGTGGGTGAAGTGCTTGCAGCGCCGGGCAATGGGCACTTGTGGGGTTACGTCCTAGCGTTGTAAAATCCCACTGAATTGCCCAACTGTGGACACATTCCGTTCAGCCAATTAGAGGGGAACAGGAATTTGTTCCATGAGGGTTAAGGGATGTTTTGGAATAGCGATTTATTTTGAAATTAGATTGAAATAAGATTTACAATTTGCATAACTCAAATTGCATATTTAATTTGGCCCTTTGGGTGCAGTGTAGTTGCACCATAAATGACTGCCTGCAAAGCTTTTGTACCACTTTAACTATACTTACTTGAAACCAGCATAGCTAAAGGTGTACAGCTCCCTAAAGTGGATAGCATATTGATGGTAAGGTGCTTATTCAGGTACAGTCAACCCCATACATTTAGAGGATAAGCTATATTAGTATTAGGCACCTTTATAGCAGCATAACGAACTGTTCCTGCACATGGCTTGTACTGCTAGGACTATTTTGGTAAAAAAACCCCAAAACCCATCTAATT